ATGAGTAAATGTAATTCGATTAATAACAATTGCACAAAGATCATATTATCTTCAATGAAACAATTTTAAAATTAAATAAGCTTTTCAACCTCTTTTGGCGTTCTTTTATTAATTTTCTTTGACGTTTTGACGAGTGTTATCATTTTTTGGTGTGGCTGGCAATGCGAACATATGTTATCATTTTCCTATGAATTAATTTTGAAAAAAACTGTTTGAAATTGTTTATTAAATGTATGTAGAAAAAAGTGAATTTTAATTATCGGGTGTTTGGCTTAGCGTATTTCCTATAATGAGCACTGAGTTAATTTAACGGAAAAGACATGGATAAGGTAATGCCGCTGTTAACTTTTGACAAAATTTCAGTATAGTGTTTAATTTTTTGTATTCATTTACGTAAAAATTATGATAAATATAGGGTCAAACTTGAAATAAACGGTGAATAATGTAGCTAAAATCATCAGAATATCGTATATAGGGAGGTACCGTTATATCGGAGCTGTGCGAAGACCTGGACCAGCATAGACAATTTTCTGTCATAGGCTGTAGCATCCATTACGAACTTCTAATACGACATCTCAAACAATTTCGGTGGGTATTGACCTGAAATCGTCAAAATACCGAATATAGGGAGGTACTGATATGTGGGGCCTATACGAAGACCTGGACCTGCATATATAATTTTCTGTCACAGACTGTAGTTCCCATTACGAACTCTAAATACGTAATTTGAAACAATTCCGGTGAATAATGACGGTAAAATCATCAAAATACCGAATATAGGGAGGTACCGTTATATGGGGGCTAAACGAAGACGTGGACCTGTACAGGAAATTTTCTGTCATAGGCTGTAGTATCCATTTCGAACTTCAAAAACCAAATTTGAAACAATTCCGGAGAATAATGTCGCTAAAATCATCAAAATACAGAATATCGGAAGGTACCGTTATATGGGGGCTATATGAAAACATGGACCTACACGGCCCATTTACGAACTTAACCTGCCTACTGGAAAAATAAGAATATATATACTTTGTTGGGTCTGACATGAGTATTTCGAGGAGTTACAAACGGAATGACAAAGTTAATATACCCTCCATAGTATGGTGGAGGATATAAAAAACTAACAGAAAAGTAAATTAAAAAGGTATCGTTTAGAAAAATAATGAAGATTTTCCCTATAACTAACAAATGAAAGGAAGAAAGAGGGCAAGTTCAAAAAAAGTTAAAAAGCAGTAAGCCGGGCCGAACATTGAATACCCTCCACTAGTTGTAACGAATTTGGAAATTAAAAAAATAAATTCCTTAAAAAATTCGGATAAAAGTTTAAAAATACCGAATATAGCCGTTATTTGGGGTCTATACGACGTGGATCTACATAGGCATTGTATGTCATAAGTCATTACCATATTCAAATTCGAAACTTGAAATAAACGGCGAATAATGTAGCCAAAATCAACAAAATATCGTATAGATATTTTCTGCACAGGCTATAGCATCCATTACGAACTTAAAATACGACATCTCAAACAATTTCGATGGTTATTGTACCTAAACTCGTCAAAATACCGACTATAGAGAGGTACTGATATATGGGCCTATACGAAGACCTGGACCTGCATAGGCAATTTTCTGTGACGGGCTGTAGTTCCCATTACGAACTCTAAATACGTAATTTGAAACAATTCCGGTGAATAATGACACTAAAATCATCAAAATACCAAATTTTGGGAGGTATCGATATATGGGGGCAATACGAAGACGTGGACCTGCACAGATCATTTTCTGTCATGGGCTGTAGTATCCATTTCGAACTTCAAATACCAAAGTTGAAACAATTCCGGTGAATAATGTTGCTAAAATCATCACAGTGCCGAATATCGGGAGGTACCGTTATATGGGGGCTATATGAAAACATGGACCTACATGGCCCATTTACGAACTTAACCTGCCTACTGGAAAAATAATCACGTGTGCAAAATTTTAACCTTCTATCTCAATTCGTTCGAAAGATAGTGTGATTACAACAGACGGACATGGCTATATCCACTTAGAATTTTACGCTGTTCAAGAATATATATACTTTGTTGGGTCTGACATGAGTATTTCGAGGAGTTACAAACGGAATGACAAAGTTAATATACCTTCCATGGTGGAGGGTATAAAACTGGGTTGTTTGTGTTGGAATATATTTTCAAATATATTTTTAGGTTTAATAAGAATAAGATTGAATTATTAATGTATTCTGCCAGTGTTGGCTATTGCGACATGTTAATATCATACTACGATAAGTGACAAAGTCTAAAAATTGTTATTGATACGGAATTAATATCAATACGAAAAATGGAACTTTTAAAAGCGTCTACTTGTATATCCGTTGAAGTTAGTTGAAACGCATACAATTTTCGAGTACAATGTACATTCCGATATAAAATAATTTTCTTTATAACGTATTATTTGAGTAGCATCCGAATATGCATAGAATCTTAAAAAAATGCACAGCTTGCATATGATTCTAATTTAGAAAAATGAAAGTGAAAAAGTTAGGAGGTTAGAGTAGAATAGATAGGAAATAAAAGAGTTAGTGGGTTTGCATCCACGGTGTAGTCAGCGTGTCATCCTTAGACATTTTAGTCTTCTGGCTAACTGAAGAATAACTACTGGCTCGGTTTCGGAGAGGCATGACAAATCGGGCAGAATTTGCTTACCTAGAAGCCTATGTCTTACTCCGATCAGGGTAGGACAGTGACAGAGTAAGTGTTCCACCGTTTCTGTTTCTTCCTCATCTTGGCAAAGCCTGCAGAATTCAGTGTCGTCACCCCACCCCCTCCCCCACATTTTCAAGTCATGGCCTTTATGTTGCAATGACCAGTAATTAGACCCACCACTAGCTTCAGGTCCAACTACGTCATGGATGTGAGTGACCGTGATCTCTTTTCTGAGTTCACTGGCCAAATCTTTTTGGAGATGTTACATCCCCTTGCAGATACCCAGTTCTGTTGAAATCTCCCAAGATAGTGATTATGAAGTACTTGAAAGAAGTGGCATAAAGGTGGCTTCACTGAGGTCTCAATCTCTAGATCTACTGACTCAGATCCGCGTCTGGCCAATTCATCGGCAGATTCATTGCCAGATATGTTGCAGTGTCCAGGAACCCAACAGAGCTTGACAAATGACTTTACCTTTTCCAGGGCAATCTTGCACTCCATAACAGCCATTGATTTGATTATAAAAGATTTTAGAGCTTTTAGGGCCGCTTGACTATCGACATATATAGTCACCGGTCCATCCCGTTCATTGATTCTGTTTTCCAACAGCTCTATGGACATTCGTTGGATACTTAAACTTTCACAGTAGACTCCAGCCCCCGTTCCACTTACCATCTTTGAACCATCAGTATAGACAGCTATACCGGTAAAATGGTGGAGTGCCACGGGACCAGATATCCCTGTTTGGTATGCGGATGTCGAGTAATTCAAAGCTGTGCCTAGGGAGTATATAGTCACTAGCTATAGCCTGATTACTTACGTTCTCCACATACTTAAGAATGATAGAGTGTCCGATGGATTGACTCCGCCATTGTCCCAGTTCATTGTATCTGACATAAGTCTGATATAAATATTACAACGTGCCAGATTTGGTCTATAATGACTACTTCAATCACTTTATATGAGATATGTGATCGTTTTTGGAAATGTTGATATGTGTGTGAAGTACCAGATATGGTGGACCGAAATATTCCACTTCACCTAATACCAACAAAAATATTGAAATGTGCAAAATTTATTTCCATTTTCATTCGAACAATTTTTAATTAGTTGAATTAGGAATTAGTGGGGCGATAAATTTCATATTACATAATTCCCATCAGATGTCTGGTTGATAGAAATATTTGAATATATCAAGTTTAAAAATAATCCCTGATTTGTCTTGCAAATTATGAGAGATATAAGTATTGCAAATTGATATCAATCATCTTCACACCAGATCTTTTGTTGTAAGAAATTTAGAATGTATGAAGTTTAGAAAGGACCAGATGCTTATTTCGCAATTAACCTTTTGGTTATTCAAAATGCTGACCCCTTTGTGGGGAAGGTACCAGAAGAAGTGGTCAGATACATACATTTTCACAATAGATCTTGTGTTGAAAAAAATATTGGGATGTATGAATTGAAGATTCAGGTACCAGGGGAGGTACCAGAAGGAGTTGTCCGATATATATTTCATCTTGGGATTTGGCATGGAATCAGATGCCTATTTCACGTTTTATGAGCTTCATGATTATTCAAATTTTAACCCGTTTTGAGGGTGTGATTACTATTGGCATATCAATGTCATATTTTAAGGCAAACTAATGGCAGAATTCGAGTGCGGCTCTGACATTCCTTTATGATATGTTACAAAATATGCCAATGTGCGATGCAATCATAACATCATGATTTTAATCATAACATTACGATGTATCAAGTTTGGACTAAAGCGGATACTCCCTTCAAGTGTTATCGGGCGGAACAGACTGCCTAGGGTCTAAATCCGTTATTTCTATTAAAAGTTCGCCAGATATGGAATTTGAAAATTCTGTTTTAACGATTGTTAAATATTTTTAATATTGCCATATTTCATATAAATTGGATATAGTCCAAACTTGCACATATTGGACAATATCCAATACCCACTAACAGTCAACTTCTGAATAATCATAACGAAAGTCAAAATATATTTAAATAAACCAATATAGGCTGTTACTAAACCTGTCTGATAATTTTTATCTTGGTTCAATACATCTCAACTAATGTTTTTTCCCCATTTCATAGAAGCCCAACACATGGTCAAGATGGGAGATAGACTGTTCCTAGCCCCATCCCGCCCTTGCATAAATTTCTTTTTTTATCCAGAATGATGTTGTCCAGTATAACTTGATTCAATCATAAATCAACTACTTCGTTGGTATTAAACTTTTTGCTGGCTAAGTTTTTTATATCCCAAGGCAATAAACACAGTGATTTTTTTAATTAATATTTATTAGTTTAATTGTTACAATTTCACCACTACTTTATTCTTTCATATACGTTTTAAGAATAGAGTATATTTGGTTTTTGTTACTGTAATGTAGACAATGTTTTGTTTCTAAACGATAATTCATTATGGAAGATATAATTTTAATTGCATTTGTTTAGTGTTCATAAATAGTTTGTAATTTGTAAATAGTCATACATAAATATATAAGTTAACAAAATAGGTATATGAATATCTTATTATATAAACATTAATATTTATAAATACATTGTCAACTGTCTTACTTTAAATATGGAAGAAAAAAAGAACAACAAAATGTAATACATATTTTTTTTCAAATAAATACATTAATTTCTTTTCAAAGTTTATCGTCTTAAAAGTAAAATACATTTAATGCTGCTATATTCGATGCACTCCAAAAACTCTCTAGGTATGTGGACTTATGCAGGCAAAACGCAGTGCAGTTGAATGATGTTTTCTTTTTTCCTAAATTTCCATAATCCGGAATCAAATTTCGTTTGATTTTTGTAATAAATGCATTAGATTTTTTAGGCGTAGTCACGACCACTTTCCAACTTTCTCATCTGTATTTAGAGAAATGGAGTTTAATAAACAAAAATCTAGGTTTGAGTTAAAAAATACACATCAAAGAATAGTTTAAAAAACATAAATCCATTATTAGAAACAGTTTTGTGCAAACATTTTTGATGTGGCTGTGTTTCTGTGCGGTATGCTTAGGTATGGGAATGTGATTGTTGTTAGACATGTTTTTATTTTGGTGAATACACACATAAGAGAAACAAAAACTGCGAAAACTTGCAAACCTTTTTTTGGGGGCAAAATTTGAACATTGAACAATTTCTTAAAATGCGAACTACATTTGATTCTCGTGATGTATGTATTTCATGGCAAATTGTGGCTTGGGGGGGAGTATTAAGAAAAAAGATAGATAGATTTTTGATGGTCAGTTATTTAAGGGCATTTCATAGAATAAATGTAGGGAATGAGGGAATGTTTTTCTATAAACAGCAATTATTTTTGAAAAAAGTATACCTGCAAAACATGTTAAGATTAAGGAAAATTGTACATTTAACTGGAACATGACATATAATAAAATTAAATTGATTGGTATTGATTGGGTAGAGTTCGTAGTCTTATTATAAATGGATGTCTCTGCTAACTATAGTAAATCATTATCACAATCTTAGGCAATACAAAGTTACTACATATTAAAGAACATGGATTGTTTGACACAATCTATACTACTATTACTATTTCTAATATAAAGTTATCGTATTGCAAATTTTCATCTCCTAAGAAAAGCCTGGATGTATAAGCTTAAATGCAATTCCTTCCAAACAAGGAACGGTCTCTCAATTACCTAAGGCATGCTAATATTTAAAGCACAAATATAGAGCAGCATGACGAAATATATTTTGAATAATGTAAAAATTGAAGTTCAAAATTGTATGTTTGTATTGTGACTGTTAAATGTCCTATCTTTATACTTTGGTTTTTGTCTGTTGAAATGGTCTCTGCCGGGAAGACGATAAAACTATTAAGCACTTGTTGTAACACATTAAAATGCTACTAAGAATACTGAGAATATACAGATCTTAATTCTTAGCTCCTTTGCTTTACAGTTTTTAAGCTTTGATCATTAATACTAGAATTCTATATCCGAAACGTCTAGCAATAGTAATGTACATTGACAGCGCTTAACAGAGTAGAACTCTGGCCATCTCGAACCCATCTTCAACAATAGTAGGGTTGTTAATCCCTATTCTACCACTTATTTTCTGCTTTCTTTTTTACATATTAAAATCCTCGCTTTCTGTTTCTCTCCTTGAAAATTTGTACTATGTTATATACTATTTCATCTCTAGTATTTTAAAATGTTTATGTTTGAGGGCCAATATTAATCCAATTACACTGATATATTCTTTACATGTAAATTTCGTAAAAAACCAATCATATTTTCGTTTTGCCCTTCTTTTTTATATCCTCTTATTTTTATTTCATCCTAAAAACATACCCCTATCACAGGCTATATTATCTTTCAACTTTATTCAGACAGGACATTAAATGCAATTGTAAAAATACTCATAGGTATATATAAAAATAAATATTATAGTCCACTAAAATTTTATACTTCAAAATCAAATTATGAATATATAAGTTAATACATCATTTTAGTTCTGAGGGACTAGGGACAAGTATTGGTGTACGTATTGATTAAAATTCTTCCAGTTTAGATTGAAAAAAAAAAAAACTCAAGAAATGAAAGCATACTGCCAAAACGATAATGGATTATGTTTTATGAGCATACAACCCTCACCTCACGTTCATCGGCTTGTGTCCTGTATTTTTCCGATACTTCACTAACCTTTGGCTCGGCTGGTTTCTCTAATACTTGAGTGTAAACTAAAGCGGCAGCAATGCCACCCAAAATTGGTCCAACCCAATAGACCCAATGTGATTCCCAATTGTCAACAGCAAATGCAGTGCCTACAGTACGTGCTGGGTTCATACTGGAACCGGTGTAGGCAATGGTGCCCAAGTGACCCAGAGTTACAGACATACCAATTGCCAGAGGTGCAGTATAACGAGAATCTGAAAATTACACAACAACATGAAAGTAGGAAATGGGATAATATTAAATACTGAATAACTTACCAGGTTTATTGGCATCACATGCTCCAAATACAGTCAGTACCAATACCAAACCTAAGAAGAACTCAATTCCAAGTCCTTGGAGTTCAGTAATGTTCTTGGCCAAATTAGTGTGTCCCAAGCCATTATAGTAACTCTCATCGATTAGAGTCTGATGGGAAAACAAATCAAATTATTATTGTAAATAAAGGTTTTTATTGGATAATATTAAAAAGTAGCCGAATAAACATTGGATGTTGGTCCAACATTTCGAACAAATATTTACCTTAACGGCTGCCGTGCCGGCTATTGCACCCAAACATTGGAAGATTATATAAAACACTGCACGTAGGGCACTTATGCGTCCAGCAATAAGCATTCCAATTGTTACCGCTGGATTTACATGACCACCGCTTAAATGACCAACGATCTGTAAGTAAAAATGTAATCAAGGTAGATGTACTAGGTAATCGCATCAGCCCAGCTGACGGCACCATTAAATGTCAAAACGAATTGTTGTAATGAAGAATTCGCTCTAAATGAATGCAACAACAAATTTGTTTATGTTGTGTTCCCTAAAAGTACCTTTTTATAATATTTCAAATAATTTAAGAGTAAGTTAAGAGTGAAACCAGTAAAAAATTAAAAGAACATGGAGTGCAGCTTTAAGAATTAAGTTAGCCTCAACATCTAAGATTCCCAAAGCACATCACGGGAAGTAGTGCAAGAATTAGACTCTTGTCATTTGCAGTTCCGGAAAACTTTCGGTTTAAACCAGTAAAATATAGTCATTATAAGTTTCTTTGTTTAAAAAATATCGCAATACTACAATTAATACTTATTTTACTCTTATTTGTTTTACAATAAAAACTTTTATTGCGACGTTCGTTTACGACGAGAGGGACACAAAATAAAATGTATTGGTTGAGACAAATTTGCCGCAATTTTTAAATGTCATGGCGAATCTATGTTTTTTCGCCTTAGATGCCAATTTTGACATTTGAGGGGACCACAAAAGTTGCTTTGTTGTAGCAATTCGCCGATGCGGTTACCTGTTAGATCTACCTTGAATGTAATGATTTAAATGAAAATCAATTATTTTCAATGAATAACGAATTGCCAACTACTGAACTAATATCAGCTGTTATTTTGAAGGTAAATTTCCAAAAGTTTCAGTAATTCATTGAATGAATAAAAGTCAAGTTCAATGAGTTCAATTCATCCCAGGCGCATACTACTGAATTCAAACAAATCTATCTTCTACTGTATTTATCTACAATATCGAAATGGGCAAATGCAAATGAAAACATTTTGGGATTCAGTCAAGAAAAGCACATTGAATGCGGACGAACATTTTCATTCTTCTGGATCTGAATAGCGTTAATTTGCTCCAAGGTAATGTGTAACAGCCCATCGTATAATGTTAGTGTCTATTTCCTCAAACCAAAAGATGCAAGAATATAATACAATAGTTCTTATTCAGATGTGGGAATTTAATAACAAATTATCTAAGATTATTAATATTGCATTATAGGATGGAATGAAGAGAGAAGGAGTGGGTCGTATATCTAAATGGCCTGATATTTTGTTAGGTTTTCAAAGTACAGGACACTTTCATTCCTTCCCCATATTCACCGGGCCTCCAAGTCAATATTGTTTTTTACATTTGCAGCTTGTAAAACTATCAGACATTCGTCTGATATTACATCTACTTCAACCGCCGGCCTCCATTTCTTCCTAATCTTAGTAGAGTCCTCAATAGTAAATATGTTTTCCATTTCACTTGCAAATTGTTGAGCTAGTATGACAGTCCTCAGCCTACAGCAATTTGGAACTGAGCATATCAGTATCAGTAGAATTGTCTTTAGTCCAAACGCAAATTACTTTTTGCGGAGGGGACTTGTCCACGAATTCAAAAACTTGGTATAGATGTAATAGGGACTTACAATATCACACCTTTCCGGGAGGGGCATGTAATGTTTGTGATCCAATTAAGTAACACTACTTAGATTAATAAGACTGGTATATATTTAATAGGGACTTTCAGGGGACCACACAATTGTCAAGAAAAAGATCGATTGGTCATCCCGCATTTTCTATACTGAGCTTTCAATATGTCTCCTGTTTTTTGATCCATCAGTGTAGTTAAATATTAAAAGGAATTTCATTAATTCCATTACCTGTAGATAGATTTCAGCCATTGTAAAATTAACGATTAACGAGTTAATGGGTGGAGAATAGTAGTTTATTCATTCAGCTCATTGGGACTAGACGTATTACTTGATGCCTAAAATTGAACAAGGAGTTCGAATGTTGGGAAATATATTATTCAGTGTCATCCAAAACTTCCACAAGGACAAGTATGTCCTGTTACCAAGTGTTGATCACAGTTCCTCTTCAATATGTGTGGATTTAGTTCCAGCTTTTACCTTATGAACTCTTGCAGGAATAAAATACAATGAAGACATCTTCCTAAAAATATAACACACTCGGTCCAAAACTGAAAGAGGTATATCGTCGATCTATCTTTTCAAATTTAAGTGGGGTTTGACGGTTTCACACTTGATGCGATTTTGATGTACCCAACATAAAATATTTACTAGGTAATTTTGTATTAGTTTGAACAAAAAAGATGAAAAATTGCCGCCGAAAATGATAACTAGATTTGTAAATATACAGCTAGGAGCCATAACAACAATGAATTCGTGTGCTGTGCGCTTAACGGCAGATTCCTAGATGAAGTTAGTGCAGGATATTTTTATATATAAATTCTATGTCGATTTAACGATGACCGTCCATCTGTCTGTTGGTCCGTTTGTGGAAATCGCTTTAGCTTCCGAACGAATTGAAGCAGGTTAATACAATTTTACTCAAATGAGTGTTTGGTCTACAGGACTTTTGGTATTGAAAATGGGCTATATAGGACCACGTTTACGTATAGCTACACATAATTGTACCTCCCTATATTCGGTATTTTGATGATTTTAGCGACATTATTCAAAGAAATTGTTTCAAATTTCGCATTGTAGGTTCGTAGTGGGTACTTAAGCCTGTGACAGAAAATTGGCTATGCAGGTCCACATCCTCGTATAGCCCCAATATAACGGTACCTCCCTATATTCGATATTTTGACGATTTCAGTGACATTATCCACCGGAATTGTTTCAAATTTCGTATTTGCACTTCGTAATAGGTAATACAGTCTGAGACAGAGAATTGTCTATGCAGGTCCACGTCTTCGTATAGACCCCAATATAACAGTAACTCCCCATTTTTTGCTGAAAATTTCCAAATGTATTCCAAATGGTGGAGCGTATTCAAAGTTCGGTCCGGTCGAACTTACTGCTTTTCTACTTGTTTCGTCTATCTGCCAAACTATATCGTACGACAGTTATATGAATTAAAGCTGGATTGGATCTCTCAGTTTGAAACCATTTCGAGAATGAAGGACTATTCAGTCTACAGTCTATCGGTAAGAAGCGACTGTATCTGCAAAGTACATCGTACGATAGATATATGAGTTAATTGGATTTCTAACTGAGAAATTTCAACTAAATTCTTTTCATATTTGTCTGTAGTATTTGGGTAAGGTGTAATTGTGTCTTAAGCTATTTTTTAAGCTAATTTTAAGCTGGATGGGGAACTCATAGTTGGTCATAAAGATTATAATGTTTACAAGTGCGGCTGTAAGAAATGCCAAAATAAATTTAGTTTTATTTAATTCCTCTTTTATTGAGCTTATGATCTTTTTTTAAAAAAAGCTCCTGTTATAGAAGTTACTATTAAATGAAACCAAGGGAACTGATGACGATTGGTGGTTCTTTCCGAAACCATGGTAATCCCTGTTTTACCGTGGACAACATTATTATAAAAACAAAGATACTCAAAATTACTTTAATAATTTAAATAACTTTGCACTATTAAATGAGGTCGAAACATTTTATAAATGCTGCCTCCTATAATATATTGATATGTACTTACCGTAATTGCCATGAAAACTCCTAGACCAAATGCCAAAGCCTTAAATGTACCATCTTCAGTTTGTGTACATGCACCACAGGCAAAGAAGTTAAGTATTAAATTTCCTACATTATTACAAAAAAGATGCTTTATTTGCAACGCTCCAAATACACATGTGTTTTAAATCTAAATGCAAAACTTACCAATGAATTCACCAATGAGCGATTGCCATAAACGAAATTCTTTCGATTTTAGTTCATTGATACCAAGTTTGTATTGGAATTTCCCGGCCATGGTAGTGTAGGTTGTTTATATTAGGAAATATCAAATTGTTTCTTTCTTTCAAAAATGCTGCAAAGAAAAATAAAAAAAGGCATGTCATTAGCAAATTTATTTGGCACAAGTGTCGATGTGTGATACTTAAAAGTGCATCCATAGAATAAATAGAGTGTTAAAATATTTGTTTTTATACAAAGTGTAGGAGATTATAAAATGCAAATGAATATATTACTATTATTTTCATCATTTTATAATTTACGTTTTATATCTACAAAATTAGAAACACTTTTCAATTGAATTTGCTCTGATATAGTAAAATAGTTTTATTGAGATATAAAAACAATCTACTAAAAATCAATATTATTGTGTAGCCTCAATTTTATTAGTGAACATATAAGTAAAACCACATGAAAAAATCTGAGCACTTTCAATAATCTTTATAAAGTGTTAGGGCCTGTTTATATATATCGAAAGAAAATTAATGTTAAAGAAAAACACCATTTACCACCAACACCATAACACCATTTGCATATTAAGGGTAAGGTAAGGGGTAAGGTTAAGAATACCACAGTTTCGGATTAGTTTGATTGTTATCATTATTGTAAGATATTTATAATCCAGTGCGGCTGTAGGCTTGTGCAGTGTCTTGTATGGTATAACCAATGGGAGATTTATGCAATTCACTAGACTCATCACAATGACCGGCAAGCCCAGAAAATTATTTTAGAAAAAGTTGTGAAAAATGATGTTACATATAGTTTCGATACCTTTGTGGAGTTGAGCCCATGACTATGTTCAACAAAATAGGCCTTCGTTGCTTTTCAAGAAAAAAAAAAAAAAAAAAAACAAATTACTCGGGTGACTGCTGAGTTACAAATTCCTAGCCAATTGATATTAGGGTTATTTGGGAAAGAATATTCCATTGTCGAGGAAATGTATTTCAATATCAATTATGTCTGTTCCAAACATGTCCTTTCCTTGTGATGATGGGGATGAAATTTTCGGCTTGAATGCATTTAAACGAAGTCTTTATTTGTAATTTGTAAAAAGAAGACATTAAAGTATTTGTTTATTGGTCTAATTTAGTTTTTGTAGTATTTTAAAATGAACCATTTAAATATTCTTTCGCCCAAAATATTTTTACTGTTGCATGTCGATGCACTCTATAAACCTCAGATCGCAGACATTGCGACTATTTTGTTGAGCTTTATACTCTGTTGATTTTCATTATTTTGGAAATTCTGAATAAATTGTTGCATTTATGGCCACAATTGTTAGAATATGTGGTATATGTATGTATGCCTGAATAACATGTCTAGCACATTTACAAGAGGCATTTATTAAAACACGGTATTTTATGTACACACTATATGACTGTGTGCTGAGTGATTTATATTCATACGTTTAATACTCGAATTAGCATCATCTTAAACGCCTATTAAGAATGATAAGTGAAATGTTAATCGTGACTGCATTAAACAAGATGGTCGATTAAGTCATTTCTACAGTCTACATGAAGTGCTACAATTCAAATATGATATCATGAGACAAAATGACGAAATCAGTCATAAGGTTATTGACAATATCACTGTATAAAGAAAATGGGAATATATATGACACAAGAACGTATGACACTTGGAATACATAATGAGATCATTTAACATGTTTTGCTATTTGTCATGTGATACGTAAGTGGTATCAGAAAAAGTTTGTATATTTATACCCTTAGTCATATAAATCATTTGATACGGGCAAAACGAGTCCCATCGAAATAACGGTTTTAGACCCTAGGTATCTTTAGGTCAAATGCGTTTCAGGAGATTTGGAACCGAACTAAGGAAGTCTGTCCGTCCGTCTGGCTGGTGCGCACGAAAACTCTCGAAGGGAGTATCCGATTTTATCCAAACTTTGTACATCGTCATGTTTTCGTCAAACTTGGATCGAGGTCGGAGGTGGGCAATATCGGTCCACTCCTTCCAGTACCTCCCCCATAAAACGTCAAAATTTTAACAGAAAATAATTGTCCTTATAGAATAGGATATGATCATCCAACTTTGTGGAAACTTTGCAAATCGTAACAGTTTTATCAGTCCTAGGTCAGGTACGGAAATGGGCAATATTGGCCGTCTACATCAAGTACCTCCTCCACATAGGGTCAACATTTTGGTAAATTATAAATTATGTAAAACAAGAGTCCGACTGCCTTCAAATTTTGGCACATCCCAATATTTCTACCAACCAAGATCTGGTATGAAGATGGAATATATTGGATCAATCCGTCTGGTACCTCTCCCACAAAGGGTCAACATTTTTACTAACAACATTTTTATCGGAAAACTCCTTCTTGTACCTCCCCCATCAAAATGTGGTTTCACAATAGTTACCAAGCCCAGCCGCAAATAATCGTCTACATAGGTGGTCGTTTTCCTATAGCTCTCATAAGATCTCCCAATAATGGGCATTCTGATGATTTCAGCCACATTTTTCAATTGATTTGTTAAAAAATTTGGCATTTAGAGATTGCAATGCGTTCTATCTGCTGTGGAAGAACATTTTCTTCTATAAACTCTTTATAGCGATACCACCGGACATTCAACATTTTGACGATTTCTTACGGATTTGTGTGCCATATTTTGTATTGTATGGGAATTACCTCTGGTGGAGCGACATTACCTATATACATCCCCTTTTTTATTATAGCTCCCAAATTACCTTTAGGAACGCAATGATTTAAAGATTTTAGCCATATTTTTCAATGAAATTTAACCACTGTAGCGGACACTTGTCCACATATGTCCACGCGTACCTATAGCCCCTTTGTAATAGTACTACCCTATATTCGGTATTTTGATAATATTCGCTCCATTTTTCAACGGAATTGGTACTTGGAACTAGTAACAGAAAATGTTCTATGTAGTTTGATGAAGCCACCATATAACTACCGCCCATTTCATGATATTTTGAAGACTTGAATTACATTCTAAAGCACACAGCTATTTGAAATTGAAATAAATTCGTATACTTTTTTTAAAGGTTTTCTTTACCAAAAGGAATTGGTGAAAAATTTAGCACGGCTGTACTTAACTCTTTCTAATTGTTGTTATAGCAGGTTAACAAAAACTTTTCCAATAAATAAGTTACTCAATTTCTTTGTTTTTTTTTTTTCATTCTTTATTTATAACCATTATGTGGACGAAGATTTGGATGGTCAATGAAGTATAAATGAAACTATAAAATTTACAGTTTGAAATACATAGTTGTAATAGTTTGTGTATAAGCTAAGTATTAGAGTTAAGACTACAACAATCGTAGCTAAATTTTCTCCTGAAATATAGTTGGCAACACTTTTATAGCATTAAAATTAATGAAATCAATAATTGAAATAAGTCCTAGGTGTATTTTAATGAAATATACCGATCCAGGGCCTCAATTCTTGTTCTAAGAAAACTTTTATAGAGGAAAGAAATGTCAAATGAAAAATATTATAAAGGAAATATTTTTTATTTCATATTTTCATAGAACAAGAGTCCAGGCCCAGTTTCCATGTTCTGAACTCAACATAAGTAACCATACTAACTGATTATTTACATTTTAATTTGAATATTCTTAACTTCACCAACTTATTATTTGAATTTGAAATTTGCCAGAGGTCAAACTTCCGAGTTATTGCCTGAACAACTTTGTGATTTTGACGCCGAAGGCCATCATGATGTTGAATTATTGTGGTGACTTAAGTGAGATCCGTAACCACTTGTCATTGTTACACTCCATGTAATTGTATTGTGATACTTTCTGCTCGTGACGATGTGGCAACATATGGCACTTGTCACTACAGCATCTTTGTTTTGTATTCATTCGTACATTTCAATCAAAGCAACCGGTCACCATTTTCAATTCGATCCTTTTTGCATTATCGTAGATTAAGCTATTTATAATAAAGTATCATTATCATTATAACGTAAAGATCGTGCATTATTTATTCATCAGTCTCAACAAGACACAACAGTTTGGCGACGAGCGTAAAAAGTGGAATATTATTTTGGAAAACTAATATTCTGCATATTTTTTTTCTATTAAAGCAAGTGCAAGCTTTTAACAACAACACAAATATAACAAAATGGATGCATCTCAATTTGCCGCGTTTATGGATATGCAAAAGGCGTTGTTTAACCAAATATCGAAGATGACTGTGGGTGCTCCTACTTCAAGTGCAGCGCAAGGCAGCAGCAACACCAGCATCAACACGACATTGGTACCAAACTTCGATCATTTTGATCCGGCAAAGGAAATGTATACCAATTATATAGAGAGGTTTAACAACTACATTGCAATGAAGGGCGTCAGTGCTAATAAGGAGTACTGTACAAAGTTGCTTCTTAACTCTATTGGTGCGAAGTACTTTAACATGGTGACGGCGTTGGCAGCGCCCAGAGCAGCGGCAAATCTGCAATACGATGAATTGCTAACCATTTTGCAAAATCATTTAGCACCGAAAAAGAATGGCACAACACAAATTTTTATCAAAATATCAGATGCAAGGGCAATCAGTGGCAGATTTTGTGGCTGCACTCCGTACTGATATTAATTCGTGCGAATTTGTTTCACCGTGCAAATGTGGAGCGTCCATAGCCGATGTGTTTTTGAGGGCACAATTTATTCGAGGCCTTTGTGACAATACTGTACGCGAACAACTTCTTCAATCCAGTACGGCGAAAATTGATGAAATTGTTGGGAAGGCATTGGCTCTAGAGGCTGCGAAGATGGACGCCAGAGAATTGTCCCAAGCAACGGCAAATTCTTCAAATTCGACGGATATAAATAAAATTTTTAATAAAAGCCCATCGAAAAATTTCAAATCTCGTCAGGGGCAACAGAAGCGTAAAGTCAATTACGAGCAATTAGGTATTGCCGGTCTATGTTTACGCTGCGGCAAAAACAATCATTTTGCGAAGGAGTGTCGCTCTAACAAAAATCTTAAATGTAACTTGTGTGCCAAGCAAGGGCATGTAGCAAAAGTCTGCATTGCTTCACTTTTGGCGGATGGTCCTAATGCCGGACGACGGGGTAAACCC